AGAGACCACATTAGGCTTTTGTTGTTTTGTTTGTCTGTTTGCTTGGTTAGTTTTCCAAGTTAGGGTTTCTCTGTGTAACAGCTCTGGCTATCCTACAACTTGCTTTGTAGACCAAGCTGGCCTCAGACTCATAGAGGTCTACCTGCCTCTGTGTCTTGAGTGCTGAGATTAAAGGCATGCGCCACCACTCTGAAACACATTGTTTTTCCCTCTTGACAAAGTTTTACTGTGTGTTTATATGTTTGTGATTCAGTGTATTTGATTTTTGTTTAAATGATGGGCAAATGCTTTTACTTTTTTGATAAAAGTTATTAAAAATAGTCCTGTCTCCAGATAAGATAGAATGCGGTAGATAGGGAAGAAGATTATCAACGGGATTCCTCTGAACTAGACTTGCCTTAGGCTCTACTTCTTAGAAGCGTGCCACTTCTGTGACCAGACCAGGCTAGCGGAAAGATGCAGATGTTTCAAAACTAGACAAAACATGAAACTTGGAAGTGCCATTTTGAATGACAGCTTTACCAGAGAAAAGAGCCATTTCCTGTAACCCATTGTTTGCGTGCTGATCACTTTGTCATCCCTGGATCTTTTGGGGTTGTATATGAATTTTAGAGAAAGTTTATTAGCCATGAAAAAATTCTGCTGTATTTTTATTGTCATTGTATTAAAGGCACAGCGCTTGGATTTATGTGTTTAGCAGAATAGCAAAACAGTTCTTTGGAAAAGAACAAATTTAAAGGAGTTGCATGAGCTGATTTTAAGGCCGGAGGCTACCCTGGCCATCAGTATAGTATAGCAGCGGAAAGTGATGGGTGTGGGGGTTAATGGAACAGCACAGACAGTCCAGAATTCCTCCCCTCACAACCTGGACGTGTTTCATTGAGATAGGAGCTAAGTAATTCATTAGAGGACTGTGTCCTAACGATAGGGTTGGAATAAATCATCATCCGGGTATAAAATGAACTTTGACGTAAACCTAACAGTGTATGCAAAATTTTTATTGAAATAGGTCATAACTCCAAATGTAAAATAACAAAACTCCTAGATGAAAATATTGGAGATCTCCTTTGTAAATTACGTTTAGATCTTAGATATGAAACCGAGTGATTTCTTACTAATAAAGAAACTGCCTAGGCCCCTTGATAGGCCAACCCTTAGGTGGGTGGAGTACACAGAACAGAATTCTGGGAGAAAGAAGCTTAGTGAAGGAGTCACCATGATTCTCCCACTCCAGACAGACACAGGTTAAGATCCTCCCTGGTAAGCCACTTCGTGGGCTACACAGAATAATAGAAATGGGTTAGAACAATATGTAAGAGCTAGCCAATAAGAGGCTGGAACTAGCCGGGCCAGGCAGTGTTTGAAAAAATACAGTTTTCGTGTAATTATTTCGGGCATAAGCTAGCCATGTGGGCGGCCGGGTGCCAGGGACGCAGCCCCGCCGCACATAATGCAACAACAAAACTCCTAGATGGAAATATTGGAGATCTCCTTTGTAAATTACATTTAGATCTTAGATATGAAACCAAGTCAGTTGTGTAAGATCTGTAAAATGTTATCATATTTTTAAAAGTTAACTCTTGATGATTGAGAACTTTTGATATTAATAACAATGTGAAAAGACAAGCTACAAAATTGAGGTGAATATTTGCAAATTGTGTGTTCAACAAGGTTCTTATATTCAAAATATATAATGAACTCTCATAAGCCCAGAGGAAAAGTCAAATAATCTTACATTAAAACAAATGGACAAAGTCTTGAATAAACAGTTCCTCAAATTACAGATAAGTTAGCAAATTAATGCCCTAAACCATTTTCACTATCACACACCAGTAGGAAAATGAAAATTTAAAACCATAATAATTAATAATAATCTAATAATTACAATGAACTGAAATAAAAATACTAGCAATATCAAATGTTACAGAGGACGTGAAACAATTGAAATCCTCCCAATTGTTAGTGGGGGGAAAAAAAAAGGATTCGTGTTACCACCCAGGAAACATTTCCAATGATGTCAGCATTTTTATAACACCTATATCAAAAGAAAGTAAGACTAGAAAGGCCCCACCTGTCCTTCAAGGAAAATCAGTCTGTGATGTGCACACACAATAGCGTACTGCTCTTGGAAATCAAGAGGTAATCCGCTGCTGACATGGCCCACCACTTGGGTGGATCTGTGTGCAGCTTGAAAGGAACCAACCTGGAAAGTTAAAGTTACATGCTGTGTGATTCCCTCTGGGAGATTCTTGAACACAGAGCTGTTGTGATGGAGAATAGATCCACAGTAATCAGGAAATGAGTTTCTCCTGAAAGTGTTCTAATGGTCCCCAATGTCCTCTTCCATCAACCTCCCTTGATCCTATCCAAGGATCTGTTTGTTGGCACCAGGCAGGTCAGCTGCGTGGATGATAACAATGTTTTCCTACATGCCGCTGGTTCTTCAGGGGTATGTTTTTAAACACCCAGCACCACTTTATTGCGTGTTTTTTGTTTTTGTTTTATAGATGCAAAGATATCAAACCTCTCCTTTATGGGAGCACTTAATTCCGCTCATAGTTTCTTCTCAAAACAAATAGATTTCCCCACCAGGGTGTGCCAGTCTCTTTTATGGACTTAGATGCTAAACAGCGATTGCCAGGAAGTTCTGTTGCAAAGCAGATTCTTGGGAACCAGGTTCATCTGATATAGTGGGCTTAATCATTTAAATATCATGCAAATTGTTAAGTTTTATTATAGACATTTCAAACAAAATTTGGCTTAATGACCTCATTGGTGAGTCCACTTCCCATTATACAAGGGCTTCTTTGAGAACCCCGCAGACCTGGGAGTGTGAATGTGTAGGTCTTCTCTGTTGGCATACCTCTGACTTCCCCACTTTTATTAGTGTATGAAATCCCTCATGCCTCCTACAGCCCTTGCAAATGTCATAAGAGTACTTTGTTATACCCTATTCCTTGAGTGATTTGTCTTCTACTGTGCCCACTGAGGTCATGGCCAAGCGCACCGCTCATTTCTTCCTTGTGCTTCTGGTGTTTCTCCAGATTTCTCCTGGCATTTATGTTGCTCCCAGACCCAAGGTCACTGTTTTTGCTCAGAAGTTACTGGCCTCCTTCTCCATTGTCATGAATTTTCTTTAGAATTTGCATATTTTTAATGAGATTTGTTCTTCTCCCCCAAGCTCCTCCCATATTCTTCCCACTCCATACCCATCCAACTTCATGGTATTTCTTTCTCTAACCCAGTGGTTCTCAACCTTTTAATGCAGTTTCTCATGTTGTGGTGACTCCCAACCATAAAATTATTCTTTGTTGCTACTTTATATTTGTAATTTTTGTACTGTTATAAATTGTAATATAAACATTTGTTCTTCCACTGGTCTTAAGTGACCCCTGTGAAAAGTTGTTTTGGGTTTTGACCCTCAGATTGAGAACAAATGCTTGAACAAACAAACAACCCCTCCCCGCAACAAACCAAACTAAACCAAACCAAAAGAAATCACAAACACACACAGACACACAAGCACACATGCACAAAACAAAACAGCATGGAGTCTGTTTTGTGTTGACAACCACTCTTGAACAAGAGGCCTGCCTTGGGGTGTGGTTCATATACTAAATGTTACTTCATTGGAAAAAACTGTTTTACCCCCTCCCAGTATCCACACATTGCAAATAGCTTCTTAGGGAGGGGTTGGACTTTGTGCCCACGTCACCTTCTTCGTGTGTGGCTTTGTGCCTGAGAAAGACACAGACTCAGAAAGACAAATAGTGTATAGTTTCTTATATGTGGATGTTAGCTTTTAAGCTTCAGATATGTGTGATTTACTTTGTGTATTTTACTTGCATTGCATCAAAACTTTCTGTTATTTAAGATTGTATTTTTACTCTGTGCCTCTTTGTGGTTGATCAGAATAAGATTTTTTTTTTAATGTTAAGAACTGTAGCTGGTTGTAATTAGTATGGAATTTGGGTACGATATTCCTCTAAGATATTGCATTTGTGTTGTGCTGTTTCTCTCTTTCTCTCTCTCTCTCTCTCTCTCTCTCTCTCTCTCTCTCTCTCTCTCTCTCTCTCTCTCTCTTAGTTTTTCAAGACAGGGTTTCTCTGTAGCTGTTCTGGCACTCACTCTGTAGACCAGACTGGCCTTGTCTGGCTACTAGGATTAAAGGTGTGTGTGACCACTGCCTGGTCTGTAAGGCTGATCAGTGTGGCTGTTTCACTCTCTGAACTTCAGACAAGCTTTATTTATTAAAATACAAGTGAAATATGGCTACAGACAGGAGCGTACGTGAAGCTCATTAGCAGACCAGTGCATCTGTGAGTTGGTGAGTTCCAGGTTCAGTGAGAGACCCAGACACAGAGTGCCTAAGGAAAACAGCTGACCGCTGGCTTCGATACACATGTTCACACACACACACACACACACACACACACACACACACCTGACATTACACAGGAAGATGGTACATTTGTTGCATGGATTAGCATGTACAAAAGGTTCCTTTTGAGCATAGCAAGGCTCTTCAGTGTAGGTACTCTCTTATCATCTTTGATGTCTCAGCACAATTCTTTTGGGAACTACATCAAACGTCACCCAGCCTGCAGTGTTTAAAATACCCATTCCCTTTCCACGTCCAGCAAATCCTAGGTGATCCTCCGTTTACAGAAGTATATATAGTGCCCCCTTGTTTATGGTGAAGAAATGCTACAGCAACACTCTGGCAAGTGTCTTAGCTTTGCTGTCCTTGGAGCTGAGTAAGTGCTCTGTCTGTCCAGGAACCGTACATTCAACCCAATCATCCAACTTATTACTTTTCTATTTCTGATGACTTAAGTATTCTGTTTCTTAAATATGCCTTTTGTGATGTTTGTGAAATTATGACCTTATTGGTTCCCTTCTCCTTAGGGAACCAAGAGTCAATTTTTTGCGTAAGTTCCCTTCGGGTCTGCCTTACACTGCGAGAAGGCTATGTCCTCTCTTTGTGTTCTGTCTTACAGGAGTCGCCGACGGTTTTCCAATAGCAGAGCACTCTTGAGGAGTGGCATTCTTGATTCTTCATGCAGTCATGGATCTGGAGAAACCATCTGTCTGGGGCTCATTAAAACAGCGGACCAGACCATTGTTAAGCAACCTGAGCAAGAAGAAAGTTAAAAAGACCCCAAGCAAACCCTTGGACTTAAGGGTGAGGCATCATCTGGACCGGCGCCTTAGCCTCTCGGTGCCTGACCTCCTGGAAGCAGAAGCCTTGGACCCTGAGGGCCGGCCCTACTCGGGACCTCAGTCATCCTACACCTCGGTACCCAACAGCCTGTCCACGGCAGGCATTGTCCCCAAGAGCAGCAGCAGCTCCCTAAAGCAATCTGAGGAGGAACTGGACTGGAGCCAGGAGGAAGCAAGCCATGTACTCGGGGTGGACACCGACTCAGAGGATATCTATGCCTCTTTTGCGGAGGAGCGGCAGGCATCCAGCCAGAGTGGCCTGGATCCGCACAAACATCCCCTTGGAGAGGATGCTCCGGAAGAGACAGAGGTGAGACCTGGGCACTTCCCAGCTTTTAAAAAAAAACATGTTTTTAAGGTACATTCATTGTCCTTGGGAAATTTGGGTAACAGTTATTTTGTGGTTTTATTGGATGAAGAGAATACCATTTACAAGAATTTAAATTAATGTACTATTGATTCTACTGGTGTTCCCATTTGTTTCAGGGCTGACCTCTATGTATTTCAAAGCCAGCACAAAAGAACCTTCTAGAACCGTTTAAAGCTTTAAAAGCCCTAGTGGATGAGGTTTCTTTCTTTCTTCTTCTGGCAGAGAAATTGAGCACATAACTTTAACCTTTTTGTTCTAACCCTCCCTCCTCTTCCTGCCTCCCTCCTCTTCCTGCCTCCCTCCTCTTCCTGCCTCCCTCCTCTTCCTGCCTCCCTCCTCTTCCTGCCTCCCTCCTCTTCCTGCCTCCCTTCTCTTTCTTCCTCCCTTCTCTTCCTCCTCCTCTTACCTTCCAGAGGAGCAGCAGTAATGAGAGCAATAGAGCTTCCCTCCCCCTAGCATTGCTAAGTCAATCAGACTCTTAGACAAAGCGTGAATGCTGTTTTTTCCAATCTAGACTTTGTAGACAAAGCATGCAGACTAGCTTTTGAGATAATGTGTATCTTCCTCTTTGACTACCGGAGCCCAAAGGGTGCTCTTTCCTCTCTGGTATCACGTCTGGGTAAACTTGTGCACCAGTATGGACACTCGGTTTTGAGAAATTCCCTTACTTCTCTGAACAGAAAGGTGGAATCAGGGATCAAACTTTGATTGATTAGCGGTTGTAGCAAAGCTTTGGCATTCTAGGAAGGCTAAGTACCAGTGTCATGCCAAGGTTCATGGATCTGGAAGAAGAGCTTGAATTCAGCAACCAAATTCCTAATCCCGATCCTGATTTGGATGAGCAATTTAATCAGCTAAATTGGATATTTTTATTTATTTAAATTCATCTTAATGATGTGGAAATAGTTTCTAATGTTGAAGAAAGAGGCTAATACTTTCTATATTCCATATTAATCTTAGAGTTGAATAAACATTGATTCTTCAGCTGAAGGGTCTGGTTTTTCTTTTAGAAGAAAATCTGTTGATCACACAGCATGTCTGGGTTTCCTTGGGGCATGAACTCTGGGAATGGAGTATGATGTGATCATGTTCTTTTGAACACGGTTACTCACTAAAGGGCTCAGCTTTTTTTTTTATTTTGACCTTACCATTAGGAGATACTGTTTGTAAATTTTTTATGATTGTAAATATTTGTAAACTTGAAATACATTTTCACTTTACAAAATGCTAATGCAAGCAAGGGCAAGGGTTTGTTATCAGGAGCACGGGCAGCTTACCCATGGCTTTGACACTGAAAACATAGATGTTCTTCCACTCTCAGAATTGTCTATGTTTTTATCATGAGGTATGACTTAATGAAATCAATACATTTTTTCTCGAGAAAATACTTTAAATATACTCTTCTATAAGATGATGGGGTGTGGGGAGGAATAAAGGTGAAGGGAATAAACAGGATGTGAGAGCATGCGGCAGGGGCATCTGCACAGATGCTCAGAGCAGCCACAGCACCACGGCAGCAGATGGGAGAAGGAGGCTTAGCAGAAGAGGACTGGGAGAAAAGGACTCCACCAAACTGGCTTTGATCCTTAGCGTCATGTGTGCTGATCGCTCCTGGAAACAGGGCCTTAAGTTGTGGGACTGGAAGTCACTGTCTCCTGGAAGGGTCTTCACACATACATTGCTGGCAGCACTACCATTATCTGTCTACTAGCTCAGACTCAAAAGCCTTTTCCCCATCCCTCATCTATTTCCTCTTCATTTCCCCGGTAGTCTCCTCTTCTGGAAATCCTTCATAGCCTTCAACAGCAGGTGAAAGTTCCCTCCGGTGAGGCGTTTTCCTACCTTTGCTCCCAGTATGTTCATCCTGCCTTCATTTTCATAGCATTGTGCTTTTACTCTGCTGGGAAGTACCTTCTGTCTGCTTGGGCAGGAATCTGTAGACAGAGGAAGGACTTATTATAGGAAGAGAAGGTAGGTTTAAAAAAAAAAAAAAGGAGGCAAATTGGAGCCTGGCACGGCTGTCTCTGTGCAAATGTGTCATTGATTTGAAATCAGCAGACTGTGAGATTCTGCCATTGACTACCTCGTGGCCATTTGACTCTTCAGACTGACTCTTATAAAAGAGTCATAAGTTACAGGTGGAGATAACAACTAATTTACAGTGAGAATTAACAGTGTTATCTCCTGTAGCGTGATGTTTTCAATAAAGGGTCCATTCTTTATCATGGTGCTTAGGAGTCAGATCAAAATCAACATGATTGTTAACTTGTTGGGAGAAATGTGTATGGCAGAGTCACCCTGGTGAATGGTAGTTGTTAGGTCCGTTCTCACAGTAGAGTTAGTGTTTGAAAGAAATCACACAGGAACATGGGAAGGTTGCTGCCCATGAGTCCCAGTGAGAAGGGTAGATGGCTTCCATTATTGGCCTTTATGTCAGCACCCATCTCTCAGTGAGGGCAGAACTGCATATTACAACCTGACACATTTTTTTTGGACCAACATTGTTCATCTCTACATGGGATCTGGCCTATTTAATGAAATGGGAATTCTTTATGCTCTGTGGCATAGGCTGTCCTCCCTCTGAGCTCGCCCAAGGTTACCTAGCTGCCTTTACATAACTTCTCCACTCCGACTGATGCATTGTTCCAGGTGTTGTATGTTGTCGCTTATTTAGGTGATAGAGGGATTGCTTTTTGATTGCTGTGACAAACCCTGAGAAGAACTCCTTAAGCAAGTGGGAGGGTTAATTTTGCCTCACAGTCCAAGGCTATAGTCATGTCAAGCAAATCATGGTGCCTTAAGTAGCACATCACATTGGGTCTACAGCCAGGAAGCAGGTGGAGATGAATGTCGATGCTCGGCTCCAATCCCTCTTCACTTGTAGTCTGACCCTGGCTCATGCCATGATGCTTCTTATTTTTAGAGTCAGCCTTATCATCATAGTTAACCTGATATAGGAACCCTGTGGAAGACAGTCTTAGAGATTTGTTTCCAGGATTATTCTAAATCCTAGCAAGTTGGTAATCAAGGTTAACCATCCTTGGGAGCTGGCACTGTGTGGCAGCAGCCCAGGAACTACCCCTCCCCTTACTCTCATTTTGGATGTCTAGGCTTTGCTGGGAGAAGAGTTGTTGTTAAGAATTGGGGTATGTCCACCTCTCTCGGTTAACATGTTGAATTTCTGTCCCCCATGTGACTGTATTGGAGACAGGGCATTGAAGAGATGATTGAACTTAAATGAAGGCATAAGCATGGAGTTGCTGATCAAATAGTACTGAGATTTTAATAACAGAGGGAAAGCCCTTGATATTTTTTTTTCTCTACCATGTCAAGACATACGGAGAAGACAGCTATCTATAAGAAGTAAATGACCTCATTAAGAACAAAGTTTTCCTTGATCTTGAACTTCAGGCTCCAGAACCATGAGAAATCAACTTGTGTCAAGTCTCCTAGTCAGGGAGATGGTGCTGCAGAAGCCTGGTGTGACTAAGGTAGTGTCCAATGGTCTTTCTCAGGAGGTGACTTCATTGCTCTTGCCCCTGAGATTGGGGACAGAGGAGATGGGCAGAGAACCTTCGGATACTGAAAAGCACCAGTCCCCAACATATTTATGTATGTCGTGAGTTGTATAGAAGATTTCCATTTTTGTTAAATTGCAACCTTCAGGTGACTAGCAGTGTAATTTTTCTCTTCCAAGCATTTGTGCAAATCTGTAGAGATGCATATATATTTGTGAGTATACTCACAAAGATCAATACATGATACTAGATATATGGATGAATATGCTCATGAAGTCTTTATTTGCCATTCAAGCTAACGGTGCCATGAGGTGCCCTGGTCACCATTAAGAGTCCCTGTTGGGTTGGGGATGTGTTTACACTTTGTGCTCTTTGGTACGTAAGGTATGTTCCAAAGCCTAGCTTCTTAACTGTGGCATCACTCAACCGAATGTGGGGGTATCAAATACTCTGGCAGCCGTGAAAGTTTCCTGGCCATGTAAGGACTGCAGATTAAATGAAAATCAAACAGTTAATGAATGGAAGGTATTTATGGCAGAACTGACTTATGTTAACATAGCACTTCACTATAGCCTTAGTTCTGAACACACAACACATGCCATTTGCCTTTCATGTACTCTTAATATCAAACAGCATCAGAAAATGCTTCTTAGAATACCTTGGCTCAGAACTAAGACTGTTATATGCTTTGAATTACAGTGTTTTGTCTGTATAACAACCTTTTCTGCTCTTATAAAATCATAATGATTTAATTAAAGAAAACATACTTTTCATATTTTACTAGCATCATTCTTCAACATGTGCCAAATTAGTAACCTTTGTGTTTTATTATGCTGTTACGGTAGATTTTATTTTTATAATTACTATTTATTTATGCGCATATGCACGCATGTGTAGAGATCGGACAATTGTGGAACCACTTTTGTCCTTCTACTAAGTGTGTGTCCTTGGGATCCCAGGTCTTTAGATTTTACTCACTGAGCCATCTCTCCAGCCCAGAATATTTGCTTTGAAGAATTTCTGTGCTTGAGTTGCTAACTTAAGCTTTAAAAAGAAATTGTTAAATAGAGTTTGGCTTGGGATTAGGGAGGAATTTTCAATAACTTTTGAAATGCCTCTACACAGAGTTCTGCTGCTTACATGGTGCAGCATCCTCAGCATTGACAAATCAAACTATCAAAGAACTCCGAGGAATGTTAGAGATGCTGTTCTTGTTATAGCATTAAAATTCAGCCAAGTTTTAATTCTTCAGAGGAAGAGATTGCATCTCCATTTCATTAGCATGTCTTTTGCTTTCATCTTCTATTAGTGGTAAAGTATTTACCTCAAAGAAATGTTGAAAAATAAGCTTCTTCATGATTTATTTCAGCAAATATTTGATCCGTAAACCCATTGTATAGACCTCAACATATGGGATTACCG